ACTTCTGCCCCGCGACGCGCCAGGCTAGGAAAAAACTTGTGGAGTTCGGTATCTCTCTAAACTCAACCTTCAAGCTGAGGTATAACAAACTTTTAGTTAACGGAGAGTGCTACAGTTATGATCACTTAACCAACAGTATTCATTTAACAACTAAAAGCAATTCCATCGCACTTGTCTCCGATGACCAAGTAAATGGAAATCCTTCCCCGATATCAAATCTGCAATAGCATGCCGCGCGGGGTGGTGGTTATCTTCAACCCTTGCCTCGTGATAACGTTTCCGTTCTGTTTACCAATATCAGGAGTGTTGTTCCCAAAAAAGAGGACTTGTGTTCGATTATCGACTCATCTAGTGCTGACATAGTTGTTCTTACTGAAACCTGGTTAACAAGCAAAATCCGGAACTCTGAAATTTTTCCCTGTAAAAAACACTTTAATATATATCGCCAAGATAGAAGGAGTAGGGCTGGAGGCGGTGTTCTTATTGCTGTCGCCGATTCTATTTCGTCATCCTGCATTAATGTGGTCTCCGACCTCGAGATAATTTGGGTTTCTGTTTGTATAAATTATAACAAGTATGTTTTGGGTGTCTGCTATCGCCCTCCCACAAAGAGCGCCAATTTTGTTGCCGAGCTTCACGATGTCGTTAACGCGGTCCATGTACGCTTCCCAAATGTTCCTGTAATACTCTTGGGAGACTTCAATTACCCAAACATTGTATGGACAAGCGACAGCCCCTTCCTTAACCCATTTTCTACAGAGAGTAATGATTTTTTAAACTTCTGTACCGATTTTAGCTTTTCGCAGACAGTAGTGCAGCCTACACGGGTTACTAATTCTACAGCCACTATATTAGATCTAGTGTTAACCACGTCAAGTGAACTTATTTCCCCTCTCACTTATTTACCCGGTCTTAGTGATCATTCTTTGTTGCTATTCTCCTTAAATATCCCAAAGTGTAAATCGTCGAAAAGTGTTAAACGCATATTTGACTATGCTCATGCTGATTTTACAGCCATCAACAACGATATGGGTTCGTTTTTGGCGGAATATCTGTGCAACTTTTCCGAGCGTTCCGTCGAGGCTAATTGGTGTTTATTTAAAGACAAAGTGAATTCCCTTACGAACATGTACATTCCTGTGCGAACTATTCGTTCTTCCACTCGATCCCCATGGTTCAATGGAGCGCTCAGAAGGCTTTCAAACAAAAAGAAACGGTTGTTTCGCTCTGCGAAGTTATCCGCTTCATCAATTGCTGATGTACGCTGGGCGGCATATCGCTCCGTCGCTGCTTTATATAAAACTACCGTCAGTGAAGCCAAACAGCATTTCTTCGGAAGTACTTTGCCAGCAATGTTGCTCAACAATCCTCGTCAGTTTTGGAATGTTGTGAACCCCTGCGAAAAACCTGGTGTAAGGCTTACCAACTCGGACGGGGAGGAGATACCAGAGAGGGAGTGTGCATCCGCGCTAAATGAAATGTTCGTCGACTCCTTTTCCAGCCCCAACGTTCTTGACTACCCTGATTTGCTCCCATCAAACTTTTGCACTATGGATTCCATTACTATAGAGTGTGGTGGCATTGTCAAAATTATTGATGGCCTTAAACTATCCTCATCATCTGGCACTGACAATATAAACTCAAAATTTTTAAAAAACACTAAAATGTACTCTTCTGTTATTCTAACTAAGCTTTTCCAGCAATCTCTCAATCTTGGTACTCTTCCCGAGGACTGGAAGGTGGGGAAGGTGATTCCGGTCCATAAAAGTGGCGATAAATCTAGCCTGAGTAATTATCGTCCGATTTCATTAACGAGCATCCCCTGCAAACTTCTGGAACACATAATTTATTCTCATCTTGTTGCTTTCCTTAATTCTAAGTCTTTTTTCACCCCGGCTCAACATGGATTTAGGAAACTATTTTCGTGCGAATCTCAATTGTTAACACTTACTCACAATCTTCATGTCGCTCTTGATCGTTCTTCCGCGGTAGATTGTGTATTTTTAGACTTCTCAAAAGCATTCGACAAAGTTTCACACCGGCTTCTTCTTCATAAACTCACTGTCCTTAACATAGAACCCCATATTCTTGCTTGGATTGAGTCTTTTTTAACTAACCGCTCACAATTTGTTCATGTTAATGGCTGCAACTCAGATCATTCACCAGTAAGTTCAGGCGTTCCCCAAGGTTCCGTACTAGGTCCTCTTTTATTTCTTATTTATATTAATGATTTACCTACTCATGTTTCTTCATCCATTGGCTTATTTGCAGATGACTGTGTCATCTACAGGGAAATAACCAATGATTCTGATATTCATTCTCTTCAGTCAGACCTTGACAGCATTTCCCGGTGGTGTGACTCATGGAATATGAAACTTAACATTAACAAATGCAAATCCATGAGAGTATCACATCAAATGAACACATGCCATTCTTACAATATTAGCGGCGTTGTCCTTGATTCTGTCTTATCATATAAATATCTCGGTGTGCATATAACAAATAACCTCTCCTGGGATACTCACATTCAATACGTAATCAACAATGCAAACCGCATGTTAGGCTATCTTAAAAGAAACTTCTCTCTTGCTTCCACCTCTTTAAAACTACTTCTTTACAAGTCTTTGGTTCGAAGTAAACTTGAATACGCCGCAGCTATATGGGACCCTGGTATAACACTTGCGTCATCACTTGAAGCCATTCAAAACCGTTCTGCTCGATTCATACTGCATAACTATCACCGAACATCCAGCGTATCAGCAATGAAATTCAATCTCTGCTTACCTGATCTCTCTCTTCGCAGGAAAGTGTCACGCTTGTGCTTATTTCACAAGATCCATTATCTTAACACGTCAATGCGCCAGCTTTTGTTAATACAACCGTCTTATATCTCATCGCGCGTCGACCATCGATATAAAGTTGGCATTGCTCACTGTCACACATCACGTTTTTTTCAGTCTTTTTTGCCCAAAACGTCACTGGACTGGAATCGCCTTCCCGCAGCTGTAGTCGAGATTGCCGAGAGCTCTGATTTTCGAATTGCTGTCTACAATTATTTTTTGCATCCTCTATAACTCCCTTGTTAAGTGAATTTGTTTGTGTATATATTGTTTCAAATTATATTTTTGTCCTGTTTAACTCACTAGTTAGGTATATTTCTTTTGTTTGTATATTGTTGCTATGCCCACCCCCCTTCTGTAATGCCTTCGGGCCCTGAAGGGTATCAATAAATAAATAAATAAATAAATAAATAATCTTCTCGGAAAATGGACCTCGAGCGTCGTTCAAGAACTTGGTACTTTTCGTGGTTTCTAAACCTGCTTTCACAGGCAGCTGAAACAAAGATAATCATCGTTTCCAATCCTCATTATTTGTTCCTATGGCGTGCCGAGGTCCCCTGGCGATGTCAATCTTTTAGGTATCGGCTAGCTTTGGGTGTTTTTTTTATAAATAGGAAATCATGCCAGAAACCAGGGCGTGATGGGATATTTCAGTAATCTCATTGCAAAATCTTATAAGCATAAACTTTCACACAAAACTTATTTCCTTATAGTCGGTGACAGGCCAAGAACAAAGTGGAAGCTCCTCCCACCTCTTTTCACTTTAGCAGAGCGAATGCGGGAGAAGACGCGACCTCCTTTCCACCGTTCACTCCACTGAAGTGGAAAGGGGTGGAAGGAGCTTCCACTTTGTTCTTGACCTGTCACCGACTATAGTCATGACAGCTGCCCCAACTATTGTGCCGCAAAAAAGAAAAAAAAGAGCATTGGGCAAGATCGAAATATAGTTGTCAGTCAATTCATTTCACTCCTTAACGGCATAGGGAAAAAATGCATATTTGAAATGTTGGTTTGGGCTGTACATTCTTTGATTTTCTTTGAATGGTCTAATCCAATGGTTCTTAAATGGGGGTCCACAGACACTTTGGGGTCCCTGAAGGGCCTTTTTAGGGTCCCCGAAGCCCTCAACCGAGGATTTGTTTCTAATTGATGCTGACTGTCTTATCATTGACTGCTGTTGAGTGAGTAGGGTTGATTAGTCTATGTTTCAGAGCTTCAGAGTTAGCTTGCATGCATTTTGTTTTCTTTATTTACCCTTTTGTCATCATAATTGTCTATTATCCTACCTCCTCCCCGGTGGATCACTTTCGCTGATCCAGATGGGGTCCTCCGAAACATCACCGGTCTCTAATCTATGAGAAACAAAGTTGGATGGTTGGATGAATTTAGATTTGTTCGTCCCAGTTTGACCATGGCACAATGCGTGATGAGGCTTTAAACAAGGATATCGTCTTCTATAGCCTGGCAGTTCCCAATCTGGGTGGGTTTTAACCCTTTCACAGGTGTTTTTTTTTTCCCAAAAGATGTGCCCCAGTAGTCGGGTTCTTTTTCAAATGGATAGTACAAGGGAAGAGTGAGCGTAGTTTCTTTTTCTTTTATTATCATTATCTAATTAGAGCACATACAGTGCTTGCAAGCTGTCCAGATTGAGGAGCATTGATTGCAAATATTGAGGCCCTTCTTCGGCTTCAATGGCGCGTCCTCTTCCGCGACATTCTGGCAGTCTTGGACTCTGAACGGGAGGTACTCTACAGAGCTTCCGCATTGGATGATCAGCTCTCGTACTCTTAATTTAATTGTGAGAAAGGTTAAAAAGCTGGAAGAGCCGACGCTTCGATAGCCACTACCGCCGGAGTAGCCGACACACAAAGCGACCATCTCGTGCATATCACGTGCACAGAGCATCTAATTTTGAAACTACCAATAGCCCCAGCAAGATGAAATATGGTATAACATTTCTATAGTAGCGCATCCTGGGCTGCGCGCGGTTTCGCGTTTAAGCAGAAACTTGCAAATGTGTTAATAGCGGTGACGTTTTCCTTGTAATCGTAATTTTTTGTACCAATTCTCGCCGTGCCATTTTATGCTTGCTCAATTTCGTTTTAATGTCAAATATTTTCTCGCACGTCCCTGACGGGAATTTTTGGTCTTCCGTCACAGGAGCTGGACATGATGCAATGCCCCAAGCCATTTGTGTTCACACTGCACACATTCCTCTCGGCTAAGGTAACCCGCATGGGGCTGGTGGCGTGACGACCACCGGACAGCCCTTCCCGGTGCAGCACCGACGCGCATGGACAAATGAATGCTGCGGCCACCCCTCTCCCCCGCCCCCCCCCCAGCACTTCGCTCCTCGTGTCGGAGCAGATTGTCTTAGCAGACCTCGGTCGTCCTTCAAACGACCCTCGGGTAGCCGTCAAAGGACCTTTGTGTGACTTTCCCAAGACGTTCAAATGAGCATTCCTCCATGAGAAAGGAAAATAGTTTCGACAGAGCTTTGGACGTCTTCAGCCGCCGTCAAGTGAAAGGCAGATTTTTATTCACGGGGGAACTACGACAGCAGTTACGATTGGGTGCACAAAACCCTCGAAAGAAGAGTTCCCCACGCCGGTCATCCACTGTCAGGATGGCATTGCAAGCGCATTTTTATTAGGTTGATTTTATTCTCCTTTATGTGTGTTTGGTTTGCCCCTTATTGCTTTTGTCATGCAGTGTTTGTTCTTTAATTAACTCAAGTGCGACGAAAGTCTTCTTCCTTAGCAGTGAGCTTGGTCTTTTTGAGAAAAGCGAGGAAGTGGCACAGCCTAAAGTGACACATGTGGACAATATTAAACCTGTTGGTCCTGCGAGATGTGTCGCACCTATGAAAAGAAAAGTCACCAAAAGTTTGTTGATTGCCGCAGTACACCGTTGCCACTGATTCGAACCAGGACACTAGTCAGTTCCCTTGTCCCGGGAAATTTGCAGTGCAAGTGCTGCTGGCGACATTGCTGTTCTATAACGCGTAATTATTAAACAATTATTATTTCTAGTGGTATTAACATACATACTATTTTATCTGGCCATTTGCGAGTGTCCTGTTTTGGCTGTCAAGCAAACGGACGTTGCACGCTGTTGGCAGTTATTGTTGGGCTGGGTCGCAGGTTTGGCTTTTAGATTTTATATCCAGTTTTGGCTTTATCTGGGAGGTATTTGATGGCTATTGAACTGGTGCCTGGACAGTATATGTGGACTAGTTGCGGGCATGGGGGATTGTAGCGCGAGGAAACTGCTAGGGATGCCACCAGCCTTACGGTGTATTCAAAGAAACAGCTTTTTCTCAAACGCCTCATTGGTTTGCGACTTGCAAAGAAAATTGAGCGCAGGGCAATAATATTGTTGTGCTCTTTTATATGAAGCAAGTATGTTGACAGTCTGTAAACCTGTTGGGTTTGGCGACTAGAGTCATGGGAAAACTTGAGGCGAGTGAAGGAGCTTTGTGTGGCAGTTTGCCTTATCCCATGTATGGTGGTATGGTGGTGGTATGGGATCATTTTGGTTGGTGTGCTGGTTACCTCACTGCATTTTTACAACGAAAGGAGCAGTTGCCTTGAGCGCCAAAGAGGACTTCCTGGGGTCGGGTGGAAAACGCACCCGTGCGGGCTCCAGACGCGAGGCCTTGGGGGAAACGAGAGAGTGCGACTATCCAAAGTGACCCGTGAACCCTCACTGTTTTCTGCATTGTAGTAGCATGCATATATTTTTTCAGTGGTTGGGAACAAGTTTCTAAGTATGCTGATTGAATATGCAACTTTCTAATATATCGATATATCAGAGTGTGTGTTTTTACATCTGTTGAGTGGAGCAATAAGTGACTTAGCAGCAGTCGTTTTTTTTTTTTTTTTTTCTTTTTCTTGTGGATGTGGTTGGTTCTCTTCATCTTGAGCTGGGAAACCCAGTGAGAATACGGTAAATAGAGTTGTGGTTCCACTAGCACAAAACAATTTTGAAACCTAATTTGTACACGGTATTCCTTGTGCATAGAGAAATATTGGTTGTATGCCGGAGTGGCGTGCACGTGTGTCCCAATTTCTTAGTCTCTGTCAGTGGTGCCCTTTAAACGGGCGAGGGCACTACATATCAAGTGCCGTTGTGTTTGAGAAAAAAAAAAGACTCCCTTTTTCTTGTCGTCTCCAAGACACGGTCAGTGGGCGTCTTGAGTTGCAGCGTGCGGCCGGTGCGCTATTTCTCGTTGCGGGGCAAAAATTAAACATTCTTGGGCGTTTCCTGTTGCACCATGACATGGTGAGGGTGTATGATCCTCAGGGCTTGCAAAACTCGGAAAAGAATCTAAACAAAGATCATTCTACCCCAAAACAGTCAAGAATGTAGAAAATGTATCCTGGAATGCAAAATGTACACTACCTGTGGGAGTAGCTGTTTCAGATAAGTACTCTGTCTTGCTCGGGTGCCTTACATGAGCCATATTTGCGTTTCACGAATGAGACAGTTTTCTCAAGCAGCATCCCAAAGTGTTTACAAGAATATGCCCCAATGTCACCGCTTGAAAGGTCTTGACTGGATCCAAAGGCTTTGGCAGCCCTACCGGCCAGACATATCATCCAACTACACCACCCAGATGGCAGCTGCACGCAGTCAGCCTCAAACAAGCGTGCAATTTAATTCCCACCATTTCATCGAGGCTACATGAATAATAATGAAGACACACTTGTCCAACAACATCCTTAAAAAATTGGCATTGCAGTGCTTACTTTGCATTCTAGCTTTTGTGGTAGGAGGTATAGGTGACAACACTAATTTTTGTGTATTTGGATGGTTTTGGGTTTTATATTAGGAAGCTACTACTGTTGTTGTATTTTCCTAACAGATTTCTTTTTTCTTCGAATGTTGAAAATCTTGGTAACATTTCCAGTCATTACCTATGTCAAGTTCACACTGTGCGCAGCTTTGAAACTTTGGAGACGACTCTCCAAGAGAATGTTTTGACAAAGATCCAGTATCGAACTTTAAAATGTAATTTTTTTTAAAATGTTGTAGCAACTAGCATAACGCAGATGAAACGATTGGGCAAGCCTGCAAAAATGAAATTGAGCTCTATGGAGAGTGCTCCAATGGTGTCGTTTCTATGCCTAGACTACGCTTGCTTTTTCTACTGGATCTAGAGAATGAACCAGTCGAGCAAAACTGTTTTTCCTCACCCCTAGCAATGTGAAGCCATTCTTGAAAAATGTGAGCATTTAGAATACTATCCGGAGGAGATTAAACTTATTGCAGGCAATTTCGGCAAACTGGCTTCCCACTTGCGGCTGGTGTCCCGTTATGTTGGATAGGTGAGGTGTTGAGCAGCATTTTCCGTACCTCATCTCTGTACCTTGTGAGTTTGTTTCTGGAGAGACTGCAATGGCCGCTGACCCAATTGGAAATAGTGTGACATCACTTGGCCTATGTGAATCGTGGACGATATATATCGGACTCCCAATGTATGTATTGCACGGGGCGAGTGTGACCTTCCTATATTTTATAATAAAAGAGGAAATGTTTGTTACAGATGACTGTAACTTGTGTGGTTGGGCTGCATGGCACCGTCTATTGGAAATGGCTGTGCATTTCATAATTTACTGCTGCAGTGAATCTGCAGTCGTAATCAAATTTCCTGACTGAAATGTGAATCTGCACATCTTTTCCCATGGGATGCTAGCCTGGTAGCAAGCAGCCTGTGGAATTGAAGAAAATGCATTGATTTCTCTCTCGTCTCATGTCTTAGTGCTGTGCTCTTGCATTATCCAACTATAGTTACCCAAGTAAAAAATTAAATATAGAAGCACCCTTATCTTCAACTTTTGTATGATACCGTTTGTTTGTGTGATTGAGCTTTCCTTACCAGTAAATCCAACTGAACTTGTATCATAGTGCTAAATGTAAAAAAAAAAAAAAAAAAAGTGAAATTGTCAACAAATAATTTCTATATTTTTTTTCTTTAATGTTCTTGCTGTGCTTGGAAATGTAATTGGTCCAACTAATTTTGGAGCAGCCAGAAATCCATTTCGCAGCAGAAAAAAGACGCACTTTGCAGCCCAAGTGGATAGGAATGCCTTTGCTTTCACATTCCTGTGCAAGCACTGATTAAAATTCATGGCACAGTAGCCCAGGCAGCGTATCTGAGCCACCCTTATTATTTAAACGGTCCCATTGCAGCAACAACATGATGATGGGTCAAAACAGGACCATTTGTGTGAATGTTAAGTTTAGGTGTAGAATCAAACCAAATCAAACCACCTGAAGAATTTTGGAATGGAGTAATTTTCAGTATTAAATTATTTTGTCTAGTTCAAATGTTTCATTAAAGATGAGCATTTAATAATTTCGTTTAAAAGTGAAGGTTTTGTAATTTAGTTACATAGTCACATTCGTCATAGTTTTATGAGAATATAAAGCTAGCACGTGGGCCATAAATGCCTGTATGAAAAGTGGTACGCAACTTTTGTGCATCCATTTGTGCATCTACCTTTACACAACCTTCCTGGCACTTGTGGGACCCACATATACGAGGCGTTCCCTAGAAAAAAACGTGCGCTTTGTCCCAGATAATTAAACTGCCTTACAGAAAGCTCAAACTCTGTGAGAATGTGTACTCTCGTCCCCAGCTACCTGGCAGGCATATCCGCTATGGGTGACGAAAAAATAAGGCATTTCAACCTGCAAATAGGAAAATAATAGCGGGGAGGCAAAACGAGAGTGGACGACGGTTACGCTTAAAACTTGTATCCCACATGCATTGTATTGGCGTGGCGACGGCTAAACAATGTTTTCGCCCATACTGGAAGTGACGATTTTCAAGATGGCGGCGCCGTTGTGAAAAAGCGCAAGAGGGGTTTATGGGGCTGAAGCCCCAATAAACCCCTCTTGCGCTTTTATAAAACAACCCCCCCCCCCATCCCCCCCCCCCAAAAAAAAAAAAAAAAAAAAAAAAACTGGTTATGCCATTGCCACTGGAGGCTAGCTGTTGTGATAGAACGCTAAACTTCGAGAATATGACGTTATCTACTGGGTGTCCTAAGGAGCGGCCAGGCTCTTTAAATCGACCGTGCAGCGTTGCCAGGGTGTCGAACCGAAATTTTTATCGGTTCGGTTCCGGTTCGGGTTCAGCGCTTTCGGTTCGGCTCCGGTTCAGTTCCGGGGAGCAAAAAATAACGGTTTGAACCGGTTCGAACCGGTTTGAACCGCAAAATTGAGACTATATTTTCCATGTTTTTTTGGCGACAGGCGATGAAATTGCCTTATTTAATTTAAACGAAACAGTAAAAGACTCCTAGATTAACATATATACGTCAACATCTATTTTTTTTTTTACCACGGTCGCATTTCTTTTACCTGAATCTATAGGTTATTCGTTTGGTATGTCGCCTAAAATACGCGTTAATGCTACAACTTTTCGTCGCAGTATTAAACGTCGAGTCTTTCTATGCTCTTGAACTTACGAATTAATTACAGTGCATAAAATTCTGAAATGGGAATATTCTCGCCTTATACTGTATATCCCGAAACCTAGTTTACAAAATACGTTTTAAAACATATATGATGACGACGCAACTGAGCTAAAAACGATAATATTTTCAAAATACCAGGAAAGTTTTAGGACAAATCCTTTCAGTCTACCTTTTATAGAAACACTGAGCGGCAATCAGAACGCCTGCTTTCCTGACCAATATTGTTAACACTCAGCACAGCGATGCAGGAAAATTCATGCGGAAAAAAGTGACCCTCGTACTCGGATCAGATCTGACCTAAAATAGCGCCTCCCGAAGTGAACATTTTCGACATTGCTTGCCGCTTGAGGTTTGTTCATGTCAAGATGCCGGTCAATTTAATTTGCAAATAAACATCACACTTGCTATTTTTTATACTTTTGTTAAATAAAACAAAGTAGTATTTTATACTCTGCTCAACATTACAGCTACTTAATTTGTCACTTTCTGACGATTTGCGCGCGCAATCGTCATAGTTCTGCCAAGCGCCACTGTGTACTTTGTTTTCGTCCAGCCCACAGACACATAAAATTCTTGTTCATCACATAAAAGGAGCAACATACTTTTATATGTTTTAGAGATTGAATATGTGTCAGGAACACATATGTGATTTAAATCAGCTTCAAAATAAAATATTTGTTTAAGGTTCCCCCAAATAACTTATAGACTTGCCTATAGATGATGAAAACTCCGGAAAAGATTTGCAGAGCATATTTCAGATAATTTGGGGATGCATTTAGTTATGATGTATATCTTTAGGGGGATCGGCCCTTTATATATGCTGTCAAGCCTTCAAACAGCAATAAAATATTTTTTCTTCTTATTGTCATCAATAAATTTGACTGTATGAAGTTCACATAACCGCTTGAGATCGACACGGGAGGATAATATTTGAGAATACGCCATCTGTTGAGTCTGCGGATTGCGTTTTTTTTGTTAGTTCTTTGGCAGTGTGAAACACCGGGTCGCGGGCTACGCCGAAAAGGACTGTGTGCTCACATTATAGATCTGAAGGCAAATACACGAAATGTGCAGAAAGAGATATAAAAATGTTACTCTTCTAAATAATCCCACACAGGACGCCTATACTGCAAAAATAAATATATAGCGTCGCGGGTTTTAAACGTAAACACGTTCGGCGGAACTCCGTCTGGTTGGGTCAAAATTTTGAGAAATAGAGACCATAACCAACCAAGTCCTAAACATTTAGGAGCCCGATATTTCAATAGGTCGGGCTCAGTAGGTCGAGAGCCACTTAACCACCGGCGTATGTCAACGGACTAGGGCACTTGAAGAACAAAGTTCGAGGACACCTAAGCACTTCTTATGAGTTGTGATAACGAAATTATGAACTCATTTCGCCTGTTATGTGAAAAATACGTCAAACTTTTTATTTTATTTTATGTTTAATGTGTTGCTAGAGTCTCTCGCTTGTTAGAGCGAACACGATGCAAATAAAAAGAAATGGCCCGAAACTCTTTGCAGGGCAGATGCAGGAGCTACAAGCGCGATGATGTGGTCCTGACCAGTGCTTGCACTGCAGGAGCGCGCGTTCTTGGCAAGAACGCTGAAAGTCCGGAACCCGCTTTCTTAGCTTCTGCATGCTACGCTCACACTTTAAGTGAAATCAAGCATTGTGTTGAGAACATCACATTTAACCAGAAAACTAGACTGTTTAACATGGTTTGCACGTGACATCATCAGATTTCTTTTTGCTGAGAAAATCAAATCTTGTGGTGCACAATGCATGCTGCAGAAGGTTCGCGCTCAGTGCAACTAATGTATTCAGATACAAAAATTATTTTTTCTTGGTGCAGCGTCGTGAGGAACGGCGCGAGCGTCTGGCACCACGAAAACGCGCTTTCTGGCAGGCGGTATTTTGCAAACGAAGTAGTTTTGTGCTATCACGCTGTCTGGTCTGCGTCCAAGATGCGAAGCAGAGGAACCTTTACTACACAGTATGTTTGTAAAACTCCCGCCCTCCCCCCCCCCCCCCCTTCCCTCTTTTCATTTCACGATGCTCCTCCAGATAATACTTTTTATTTCTGAGGGACTCCCTCCTTCGTTTGGGGGTGCCAATTCGGCAATTATATTTGTGTCATTTGTTAATCCTCCATTTCTTTTATCATTCACCCAAAAACTGCGAGGTTTAAACAAAACTGCTAGAATTTGAGCGGCTGCCTAAGGCCACTAGGATCTTTCTTTTCAGGTATCCCTGCCGAACAAACTTCTAGTTTTATTTATCGTCAGATTGAGAAACCACATTTAGTCCTTCCAATCCTTCTATTCTTGGGGACAACTTTCATGAGACAGTTCAGCACAACGAAAACATGTTTGGCTGCCTCGATGATGTGTACATGTAAAACGGTTCATGCAACAATTTTTGTACTTTCAGTAAGTACCACTAAGAGCTAATCCCTGACGTTGATAGCATGCAAAAACACCCATTAGTTTTTCTCCATTCAGTGGCAGACGCAGAAAAAATAAAGGAAAGAAATAGCTTTCCCCTCCTCAACTCGCTATTAGAACAAGCGGCGATGTGATCTGACGCTAACGGTATACCGCCAGTATTAGAGTTCGGTTAATTTCATCTTTGATTGAACACGAGCCAACACGAATGTTTGGTGATGCTGGTTGTAAAAAGCCCGAGCACTCGACTCGGACCTAGGACAATCGGGTACGTCGTGGTGTCACGTGACTCGCGGTGAGAAGTGGTGATGGCATGTCGCCTCACGGTGTCAACAACACTGATACATAGGTTGCACTGACGTCACGTCGCATATTTTTGGCCTCCATGTTAGAGGAGGAGAGGGAAGCTGCTTTTGTAAGAATTTTGAGTGCCAGGTTAATCTCCTATAATCTTCTGGGGGGAGAATAGACCTTTTTCGCAAGGGCGCCGACATCTTGAATTGTCGTCACTTCCAGTATGGGCGAAAACATTCTTTTGCCGTCGCCACGCCAACAGAAGGCATTTAGGACATAAACGACACTGTCACACATTCTCGTTTTGCCTCCTCTC